ATCATATGGTCAGCCCCGTCCGACTATACTGCTCCGCTCGCATTTTTTTCTATCACTTTTTTATATTTCCTCACGTAAATATAAAACGTTGATTTTCATCGCCAAACGATTCAGTTGAAGAGCTCAAAACCCTTCCCAAACGATTGTCAATTTTCAAAGATTTTGTGAAGAAAACAAGTGGATATTTTTTGTGTATTCCTGCAACTACACCCCAATTTACGTGTAGTAGTGCGCTGTCCAGGTCGTTATCCATTAACGACCCATACCAACTATCATTCTCTTTCTAGAAGAGTTAGGTGGTGGGCCTCAATATTAGAATGTTTAATGGCATATGACACATTCGAATGGTACAGAAACTATTAAGCCTATGTAAACTAAAATGTCAAAATGTTCAATGTCCGTCATGGACATTTTGCGTGCACCTTTGTTGTTTTGTCGTTGCTGCTGTGTTGTCGTAGTTGAAGTGATACGGCGGTCATGCACATGCGGCATACACATGTTTCACCACAAAGACATACCATGATACGGTTCAGGCTCGCTTTCATGCGGTTGGTTAGTTATCCACTTGAGAGTGGGTAATTTTGTCATATAGGATTTTGTTACATTTTGTAGCAGATACTTGGGTGCATGTTCAAAAAGTTTTAATGCAACAAAATATACAGTGACCAGCAGCAGCAATAACAACAACGAGAATATTAACTTGGACTATATGAAACGCATAGAAGTTTTTTTTTCTGTGGAGTAAATTCAAGGTGTGGTTTTTTGGTTTTGATTTGATATGAAATGAAACGAAACGAAACATGCCTGGAAGCGGGAGACAATTTTAGCCTGGGAAGAGAAAGGGAGGATAAACAAACCTTCATCCGTTCGATCCGTTTCAATTGACTGGGCATATTGGGAATCGTTCATTCGTTCGTTAGGTTGGTTCGTGTTACAGTTTTGTTGGTGGTGATCTGATTTGTGGTGATCGTGTGATCAAACACACGCAACTTGTGCATAGCACATGCCGCTTTTATCCACGCAACTTAGCCATGGTCGGTGCCATTAACTTTTCTTTATTTCCATAGGCAAAAAAAAAAATCGAACGTGTTTTTTGTTTGCCATTATCGATGGATTTATTGTTGAATACAAGTTTTGTGGCAGAATATATGTGTGCAAAATCAGCCTATTTTCTAGAGACCCCTGCGAAAACCTCTTTATCTTATTGAGATTGCGACAAGGGGTTAATCAACAATTCTCGTTTGCCTAGAAAACTGATAAGAATTCAAATAAATTCCATTCTATCTGCCACCAAATGCAAAACGCTGAATTAATTAAGTCCCAGTCCTTTTGAATTGTGTATTTTTTTCCCAAATGTCATTATTGCAGACATGATAACGCCATGACAGGGTCATTTCACTTTTTTTAAAAGTGAATTGTTTAACGAAATGGATAATTATAAATTACTATAACAAGAAAAAAATGTTATTTGTATTAGTGTCGCCACTTGAGACTTCCAGGGGTTAAAAAACTAAAAAAATCAGTTGAGTAGGGGCAACGGATATTATCTGCGCTAAGACTACTAATGTCTGTCTGGGCATCTGCGTTTCCTCTGCTGATATGGATGGTGGATATTCTTCGAGTACAACATTCATACGGTATTGTTCCATTGTGTGGAAATGACTATCGATGTTGTTGTAATATTGTGCATTTTACGGAATCCATGGTTGAGCTACTGGGAAATTGTTTCTGATCGATGAAGTATAAGCATCTCAACTGTCGTTGCTATTGGCGACAGAAGTGAAATCGCAGCAGAGTTGAATCGTACAACTCTGCTGGCATCTTTGTCAGGCTTCTTTACATTCCAGGCTTCAGGAACTCTGTTGGTCACTAACTACAAATTGAAGACTGATACTAAGTACTTAACTCCGGGTTCATCCAATTGCTAAAGTATTACCATAAAAATTCTGTCCTGACCAAATGCTTTGATTATGGACTTGGGTTATAAATGCCATTCGCAATATTTTTCTTCGAAATTGTGATGGTAACTTCTCGATTGGAAAGGCTATTATCCGATGTAGCACACTCATCTTCGACCTGTCACTCTCGAGGTGCTGTATGAACAATCGGTTAAAATAACACGGGCACCTCTTCGAATCTGTCACACTTAAATCGTAAAATGTGACAGCCGTCATTTCCTCCAGAATTCGAGAGTGACTTAACCGTTGCCACAATTTACTTGTTCTGGTCGCAATTTTTACTTTTGTGCTCGCATACCAGCCTGTTGACTTTAAGAGTATGTTCTTAGGGTTCGTTCGACGAAGTGTAACACGTCTATTGGCCAATACCGTCGCCTCTACTGGGAAATTTGGTTGTTTTTCTAGTATTCGTCAGCAAATTCCTTTCAGCAACCCAAGGATCTGATGGGAAGCCGAGATTTGAAAACTGTGAAATCTTGCAAATCAGCTTTCCCAGGGTTAAGGAAAGTACGGCGTTCAGATATTATGATGTTAACGCAGACGATGATAGGTAGGTCGTGTGATCTGAGGAAAATTACGGGTTGCCATTACCTAGTACAGAATGTCATAACTCATGATGGGCTTTGAAAGACCCTAGTCGCTATTAATGGTCTGTACTGGACAGAGTATTGTAACAAGAATACAAGTCTGGTACGATCATTCCTCGGGTACGATCATTCCAAACAACGTTATAATTAATGTTGTACTCAATTATTGGTTTCTTGGATCACAGTGACCATAATATAATATATCTTCGACCCGTAAACTCCAATTACCCAAGATGAGGTCAGAATAACAATCAATCGGTTGAATAACAATAAAGCAGGAGGTGCCGATGCTGATCAGGAGCATGCATAAGCTGATTAGCACAATTTGACTAGAGGAATGCATGTCCAATTATTGGAACCTCAGCATCCTGTATCCTGGGCACACAAAAATGTGCCTTGCTGTGAAAGACGACTGAAGCCAATGGCCAATAACATAATTGGAACATACCAACACGGTTTCAGATCTGGCAAATCCACCATAGACCAGATTTTCACACTGTGTCAAATCCGGGAAAAGGTCCACGAAAAACACATCGCCACAATCCACCTATTCGTCGACTATTAAGCCGCACTCGACAGCCCAATCCGTTCAGAGGTGTTTAAAACCAGAAGGGTGCAAAATTAATACGGCTATGCAGGATAACTTTAATTGGCACAATATCAGCAGTTAAAGTCGGAATGGACCTCTCGGAGTCCTTTAATACCGAACGAGAATTCAGACAGTCTGCCGTGTGACATTTTTAACATCCTGCTGAAAAAGGTCATACGAGATGCAAATGTGAATACAAATGACACTCTGTACACCAAACAGCACAAATTACTCGCCGATGACCTCGACATAATGGGTCGAACATTGCGAGCGGTAACAGCCACCTTGGAACGAATTGAGATGGTGACGGATGGAATCAACGAGAGGTCCTGTAGACTCCGACCAACTATGGAACTTGAAAACTACAGCTTCGAGGTAGTAGGTATATATGCTTGGAAAAAAGGCCTCCTCCCGCCAGACAAAACTCACGCTCTACAAGATAGTTATACTACTGTTGTATGAATCTGAAATATGGGTTCTTTCGTAAGCAGATCATTACAGTGACTAGACCATGTTGTGCGAATGGGATGCCCCAGGTACTGATGGTTCACGCAGAGTGGGAGGCCAAGAATGTGATGGAAAGTTCAAGTGAAAGTTAAGATATCGAAACATGATCTTTCAAATTGGAAAAACTGTCCACAAAATTGACGGGCGTGGAAATCTTTTTTAAGCTCGGCTTATAGAACAAATGTTCAGTCTCGGGTCATCTAGTAAGTAAAATATATACTCCACAATTTCACTGATCTTGTTGCTGAAACTCTCGCAGTTAAACCGCAGTTAAACTGCAGCAATATGTGGTGTTAACTGATGCATATATGGCTATTGGTGAAACAGCGAGGGGTGTCGTATTCCGAATTTAATCCAGAACATCCTCGAAAATTAACCTTTACAATTCATTGAATTTCACCGAGATGGATTTGTGGTGCATGAGGTTCTGACAGACAATATAGAACCAAGGGTACAGATTTCTGTATTTAACCTACACCTACCAAAAGTTTTCGGAGCAGATATTCCGAGATAAAATGTCGCTTCCACGATATTCCAAAAATTTCACGTACTTGCTTTGTTGAAGTGGCATCCTCTGGCCGAAGTCTTCCTTCATGTCAATCCGGTGCATAGAACCAGCTGTCGTGGGATTGGTAGTAGTGACTGATCATGATAGTTCCTTGTTCAAGATATACTTGTTTTATAGGTAATTTATCGTTTATAGTCCATTTCGATTTTCTTTGAAATTCGTAATAAAAACTTTTGTTGTCTCAAATAGTGTTTATTAATATTGGAATTTTAAATTGACCTGTTAGTATCAGCATATTCATGATCCATGGAAAACATTTTCTTTTTTTTCGATTTGTTTGATTTAATTTGTTCTCATATTCGAATTTGTCTAGAGTTTAAAACTGATCTAAATTCCCTAGCAATTAGTAAGAAATAGCTAAATGTGTTGCACCTTTCCACAAAATGGTGGTTCATAGATATTTGTCTTGATAAATCTGCATTTTGTTTTTTTTTCCAACAACTCGTAACAGTTTGATTTATTACCAAGATACGATAAAAAAATCCACTAACAACTGCAACAACAATATTAACTCAAATCAACAAACAACGCATAGAGCCTTAAATCATTGTCATTGGACCGGCAGTTCTCTGTACCATAGGTGTGCGTAAAATTTATTGAGTCCCAATCAAAACAACTTCTTAAATATTTTTTTTATAAAAAAATATATATTTTTAAATACAAACTAACATTAACAACAATAAACAAATATTTTAAATAATAATAATGACATTTACCTAAAAAACGATTACTTAACAACAACGATTAGAGTGTGGGATGGCTGGGTGAAAGCTGAGCGAATATCGATGCACTTAAAAGACACGTGCAGGAACAGCGGCAACAGCTGGTCTAGCTACGGCTACAGCAGCTGGTACTGGGCCACGTTGTACAACGGCATTGAAACCATTAATGGGATCAGCGGTATAGAAAACAGTACGCAACGAACCATCGGCATCGACAACGGAATACGAACCCTTTACAACATCACCATCACGTACCTCTTGTTGGCTTTTGCTGTCACCGGTCAAAGCATCCTGTACATTATAGGCGAAGGCATATTGTGGATGAGGATCATATTCGGTGTTGATGGGAACGGCAGCGGCCACAGGTGCCACGGGTGCAACAGCAACGGGTGCAGCTGTTCGCAGGAGAGCACATTCTATAACGGCAGCCATAGCCAAGCAGATGAAAGTAATCTGGAAATATAAGTGAGGGGAAAAATATACAAAGTTATCATTATTAATTCTGGAAAAACAGCAGACAGGAGTATGTAACTGTGTTTTTGAGATTTTCAACCAAAAATTGGCAATATAAATCAAAAATAAAAAATCAAATTTCGGTATTTTTGGTCCACATTTTCGTTCGAATTGCCTATAACTTGGGATGTTTAATTCTCATTGGGCGTCAAATCTTACTAACAAAAATGATCAATATTCGTTCATTTTGTAGCATAGACTCCATATTACGGCCCCACCAAATATACGATTTTTTGGGATTTTCGTCACGTTTTTCAAGCGAATTGGCTGTAATTTGGGTTCTAACAAAAATTATCAATATTGGCCCCATACCAACAAATAAAAAAGTGTAATTCGGTGTTGGCGACAGCCTATGGTTTCCAGAGGTCTTACACAGGTTTTATTATTAACTTTATATATGGTAATTGGTTTTATCTAAGAGGTTTGGGGATTAATGTTATTATTCGGTTATTCAAGTCGTTTCAAAATAAATTTATAAGTTTATGACATATTGATCCTTTGTGGGGCAGGTACCACAAGGCGTTGACAACTGGGTCTAATCTTTATACTTCATCTAGGCTTATATATTATAGGTTGTGCACTGCATGGTTCGAATCGGACAATCCTTTCGCCTAATATTGAATATAAAAATATGGAGAATTTTGACCATTTGTGGGGAGTTACCAGAAGGAGTCAACCAATGGATCCCACTTTCGGACTTGATCTAGACTTACTGAAGATCATAGATTGTGCAAAGTTTGGTTCAAATCGAACATTCCATTCGCCTTAAATTGGATTTATAAATATTCAAAATTTTTACCCCTTGTGGAATAGATATAGGCTTGGTAATGATGTTTGGTTCAAACCAGACATTCTACTCGCCTAATATTGGATTTGTAAATATTGAAATTTTTAACCATTTAAAAGGAGGGTACAAGAAGCATTTGACCAATGGTCCCCATCTTCGGACTTGATCTAGGCTTGGTAATGCAAAGTTTGGTTCAAATCGGACAATCCATTCACCAAATACCGGATTTGTAAAAAGTAAAAAATGTTCACAATTTGTGGGGGAGGTATCAGAATGAGCGGACCAATGGGACCTATCTTAGGACTTGATATTGGCTTGATAAAGATAATAGATTTTAGAAAGCTTGTATATTCCGTTCGCATGATATTATAATACGTATTTTTTGCACAATTTTGACCAGTTTGTGGGTGAGGCACCAGAAGCTGGGGACCGCTATTACCCATCTTCGAGCTAGGACTAAGTTTGGAAGCAATATTACGATGTGCAAAGTTTGTATGAAATCGGTTACTCCCTTCGAGAGTTATCGTGCGCACCAGCCGGCTAGACAGACGAACGGATATTTGTAAATCGACTGCAAATTGTCTGTAACGGATTTCGGCCAAAGAAACATGGGGTATTAAACCAATATTTCCATGAGGCACATTTTTGCCGTAATAAAGTGCATATAACCCAATTTACCATAAGGCTGACATAGCCCGCCATATAAAAAGAGTCCCGAACGATAGCAGGTACATATTTTAAATGTCCACCTCAAGTTTGGCCCGGCCGAACTTATTGACATTTGATTTGTTGTTAAGATTTTAGCCTCATTTTTCAATGGGTAGCAGGTCTCTTTTCCAAAATGTCATTATAAGGCCAAGTTATCACATAGCTCCCGTATGCGATTACTGTCGGTTTTTTGTGGTTAGAAGATCCTTGTCGCATTTTTCAGTCCATGATGGAAGAAGGTACACAGCAATACTACCCGATTTTCGGTATTTTCAACGTTTTTATGCATTAAGATTTTTATTATATTATCCAACTGTAACCATAGTGAATCCTTTTCTAGTTCGGATATAATTATTATTATTATTTATTTCCTTGATATAAATATATTTCTTAATTTGTTCGACGATATCCAAAACACTTGTAGTACACTTCACACACACTCGCACATTGTCTCACCTTTAGGAAAGCCATTTTATGCTTAGGTAAAAATATTGTTGATTTAGTAGTTTGTAATGTAAACGAATTAAGTGTTGATCACTTTGATTGCAGTATTTGACTGATGTCTTCCCTGGAGGGTGACAGGCTTTTTAAAGTAAAATCAAATGTCCCACCACCTCCCACACTGTTCAAGGCAAGCCAACCAACCAACAAAACTTAACCCTCCTTCACCAAATTTGATTACAAATTATTTATTTACAATATTGCATTACTGAATCGAACCGTTTGCCAGCCAGTGTCTTCATTCATTGGCCTTTGCCAAATTCATACCACAAAATATTGCACTTAATTACTACTACTATGTTTGACCCACCTACCCTATATAAATATTATATAATATTTTGGAAAACCATAAATGTAGCCTAACGCACCATCTAGCTTGCCATAAATGGAAAGTCTCTGCATTCACCCTTCCCAAAGCATTAGTAACCATTCCTTTTCACTACATGGTAACCATTTGTCATTGGAAACGCCAAAAACGAGACTCTTTTGCTGCAAGCATAAGTAAAACGTGCCAAAAACAAATTACCCCGCTACTTGTTTTATTGGTCAGTTAGTCAGTCACTGTGCCACTATGTTAAATACTATATCATCCACCGTAATAATAACTACAACAACAGCTCATAGACTCTCTAAATATTTTTTTTATGGCAACCGTTTAAACGCTTCACCATAAACCATTCATTATTTCATTTTGACCGATTACTGTCAGCTGAGTGTGACGTCTTCTTTTAATTTTTTTTTTTTGCTTTTTCAACCGGTTCATTATACACCGGCTATAACCTGCAACAATTGTCGGTCTGTTCCATGGTGGCCTCAGCGCCACTGTCAACATGCGTTAATCATCACTAAGCGGTAAAATGTCGTCTTTATGTAAATGAAACATTAACAGCACAGTCATGAAGGCAAATTGTAATGAAGAGCAGAGCTACAGCAGCATTACACTGAGAAAAAATAAGTAAATGGAAAATTTGAAATGAACTGTTAAGGTCTAACCTACAAATGAAATTAATTCTTTTCCCAACCACGTTTTATGGACCATCGAACAAAAAAGACAGTTCGAAAATCAAATATTCGTAACTCATGACATGGTCAGCCCACATTGCTCAAAAGAGTATGATAACTTTTTGAATTATTTTGAAATTTGGTCGCAAGAAAGAGCAGTTTAAGTAGTACCCTCTGTGTCCCGATTTTTTTTTCCGCAATCATAGAACAATTTTTGTTCACAGATTCAATGCAACTACCCTAAATAGTATATGAACAAAATTTGGCATCGCTGCATCATTGCATTCGGGAGATACAGTACATTCTTTCTGAAAAATAAAAGTCCAATATCAAGAAAACCAAATGCAAAATCCACGGAAAATAATTTTTAAATTATTCTCAATATTCTTTTTACATGAATCAAAAATATTTCTGATGGCAGAATTCGTACAATTCGAATACGAAGCGATTTAAATAATTTGGACTGTATATACAAATTAGTACTGTACACATTGTTTGCCCAGAATGTGTTATTTTGCATTGGAGAAAATCTACAATGAAACCGACTATGTAATTAGCCGATGTGATGACGCAAAACATAATTTGTCTGCTATGACTAAGAACATAGCGTTAAATGTAATTGAGTCTTAAAATACATCATATATGGAACTTACTCTATTACTTTCAAATACTGCAGATGTGGAGTTCTTTGAAGATATACAGCCTTATTCTGGATATTTGCTAGGGAGATATCTCGCATGTAAAAAAAATTCGCTTTCACATTCTCGCCTTATTCTGAATGAATAGGGAGATGCAAAAAATGCGAGATTTATTTTCGAAAATGGTGGTTGAAAAAAAGATTCGTGCTGCCATATCGTAAATTAAGTTGCAATGTGTGTGGCCATATTGTAATTTAAGTTGCAATGTGTGTTGCCCCATTGTAATTTAATTGTGTAACATTTTTCAATATATTACTTATTGATTTTTGTTATTAAAAATTGTTACTTTTTATTGTTATTTAAACTATATAGCAATACAAATGTGAAATATCAAGAATCCGCTGTATAAATGCTTTGTAATTAAAAGAAAATAAATTAAAGTTTGAAAATACAATATGGCATGTGAAACAGCTGTTCATTGTTTTGATGCAATTTGTTGCAACAACTACAATAGATTACAAATAAAATAAAATTTTTTATGATGGCAAAAACACAACGAATAATAGGAAGGAATCTGCGATTTAATTAATTAATTCACAGTTTATTATTTCACTACATAATTGTGTGCCTTTTTATTTAATTCCGATATTTTATCTCCCCAAATTCTAAAAGTGGCCTATTATGTTATGATTTTCTTTTGAAAATTTTTTTTTGTTCTTTCATAATTTTTATTTAAATTTTTCACTGTTAAGCGGCTCATCAGGCAAATTTGGGTTTTCCATAATTTTTAAATTTTTTTCTTGAGAGACAGATCCTCACCCAAAATGTCTGTATTTCGCCTCCAAAAATCAAACTCGACTTAAATATGCCTTATTACCTTCATACATTTCTTGGCAATACTTGGTTCAGTATGCATCGTTATCAATGGGATTTCCAATGGTATTTTATTGGTTGTTTTCCAGTTAAAAATTTGCTTACTATCATTTATAATATTCTAAATCGTCATAGAATAAGTATTGTGTAAATATTTTTCATAAAAATAGTTATTACTTATATTTTTGTAGTCAACTCACTTTAAATTTATTAGCGAAAAATTTCGCACAAAATTTCATCTCATTCTCCTACTCCCTGTAATTCAGAATAAAATTTTCCCTAAAACATTCAAATTTTTAAGGCGAAAGCGAGAATGCGAAAAAATTCACAGGAAAATGTTGTTCAGAATAAGGCGAACGGAAAGAGCGAGTAAATTCACATGGAATTGACATCCAGAATAAGGCTGATATTCTTCAAATTAAATAGAATGCTCCATATATACAGGGAAATCTTCCAATATTTGGTGGAGGGAATTTATTTACAAAAAGCAAATATGGCGGTGGAAAGACCACATGAGAATGCTTCGAAAGTGCGTGGGTTAGGACCAGAAGCCTATGAAAAACAGAAGCAAAAAAGGATGAAGCAGGATCTGGACCAGCTGAAGAAAAGGGAAATGACAGAACGGATCTTGGAAAACAGGAACATGAAGTCCATCCCCAGAATGTAGATAAAAATTAAGATATTTACCCCATGGATGGGAAAGCCAAAGAAGCAGAACGCAGAAGTTGTTGAAACTGAATATAACCGGGTTGAGAATAGATAAATGTAATGTAGTCTTTGAAGACGTCATATACATAACTCACTATATTGCTTCCAAATGATACAGATTCCTTTAACCCTTTATTGCCCAATGTTGCCCACAGACAACAAAATGTTTTAGAGCTTATATTTAAATTACAGCTAGTAGATATATATTCTTTGGATTTTGTATGTCAAGACTAGATTATGGACGACACATATCAAAAGAAAAAACTAAAACATTCAAATTTTTGGAAAAGTTATGAGCTTTTCAATGTAGAGGAGAGGGCAAATATGTGTACAGTACTAATTTGTGTATACAGTCCAAATTATTTAAATCACTTCGTATTCGAATTGTACGAATTCTGCCATCAGAATTCTTTTTGATTCTTGAAAAACAGAATCTAGAGAAATATTTTAAATGAATTTTCCGTCGATTTTCCATTTGGTTTTTTTAACATTAGACTTTTATTTTTCAAAAAGAATGTACTGTATCTCCCGAAAGCAAGGATGTAGCGATGTCAAATTTTGTTCATAACTTATTTAGGATAGTTGCATTAAATCTGTGAACAGAATATTGTTCTATGGTTACGGAAAAAATCGGGGTTTTCCGTAAAAAAAGAAAGTATGGTCGAAGAAGATGAGAATATGAAGTCCCCCACTTATATGGAGATATTGCAAAAGAAACAGAGTTCGAAGAAGATATTTTTTATGAAGAAAAGCAATGCGTAACATTAGTACCCAATATAACTACTGTGTTGTCTTCAAAAAGTTGTTTAATTGTACAAATGCCTAGATTAACGGCGTGTCATGGAAAAGATAAGAAAGCAGTACATAAAGCGGAAGCAGTTAAAGATGAACTAAAGTCTGTAGCAGATAAATCCGTAAAGGAGACAGCTGTACGTTGGAAGCCAGTTAATTTTAAAGAAATAGAAGTAAATGAATTAACACATTTTCATCGCGGAGAAAGCGAACCAACGAGTGAAGATCCTGGAATATAGGATATACTGCTTAAGATGGATGATGAAAACGATAGATTAAGGTGGCGGAACTTCTGATGGAGGTTCCAATTGGCTGCGACGAATAATGAGTGCTGTTACCTAGAGGCTGTGTACCACTTTACTCTTACGAACAATGATTTGTTCACTCTCCATGAAACATACTCCCATTGGAAAATGTGGCTAAAATCTCTAAAATTTCGAATACGGGCATGTAACTCAGCAATAAAACTTAGAAAGTACCAAAAATGGTCTGGACCTTTTTATCGGATTATATAAAACAATGAATACTTTTTTGCAATGATAATTTTCACCCTTCGTGAAACCCCGAATTTCAAGTTGCATCCACTTCGGATAGAACATGCGTCTAATGCTCTAAAAATACCGAAAATGTACGAAACATTTATATGGAAGCTATATCGGAAAATGGGCCTATTGGTGAGAATTTCAAAGCTGTTATTTTAAATATTGAGACCTCTACAATGATTTCAAAAGACGTGGGCAAATATATATAGGATTTTATTGTGTTCAAGTGTCCCACATGGAATTATTGGTCTTAACAATGACAATTTTAGGGTCGATTTATAAATTTATATCCCTCTGGCTTGTGCGCACGATAACTCTCGAAGGGAGTAACCGATTTCATTCCAATTTGTACATCGTAATATTTCTTCCAAACTTTAATGAACTTTGATGATGGGGAATATCGGTCCACTCATTCTGGAACTCATCCACACAATGGTGAACAATTTGCTGGAAATTAATTGAATATAAAGCGAACGGAGTATCCGATTCGAGTCAAACTTTGCACAACCTATTTTTCACCAAGTTTGAAAATGGGGCCTATATCGATATGAACACTTTTTATTACCTGCCTTGCAAAATGTTCAAACTTGAAGTCCGAATTGCAATCGTAATATTTTTATCAAACCTACATTAAATCTAAAGATGAGTTTTATTGGGCGACTTCCACTGGTACTTCTCGTGAAACAAAGCATTGTGGGCGATTTTCGATAGAATTGGGCAATTTAGTTCCTTGAGCAGTTCGTTCTTTTCCAGTCCGCTCCGCAAGAAAGAAAGTAGGAAAGTTCCTGGTACACGATAGTTCGTTCAGTCAATACTGTCGTTCATGCTTCTTCTTTTCTATGCTTGAATTATTTACAGCGTTTAATTTTTACACGGAATATTTCATTCATTAAAAAAATAAAGAGACGATTAATCATACCTTTACTGTTTCACACATATGAGTGAACTAGGTGAACGAAAGATCCGTACCTAGTTCTGATTGTTCCTGGTTCGGAATAATTAATTTAAACTAGTTTGTTTCGGAACGACACAACTGCATTTTTTGTAAAGTTGGGCAATCTAGTTCACGTAGCGGATCGATCTTTCTCGTTCCTTTTTTAAAAAGGAATTAGTTCCTTTATGCTCCATATAGTTTCTTTACTCCATACAGTTCTTTTGCTCCAAATAGTTCCTTTGCTCTTAATATTCCTTTGCTCCATATAGTTCATTTGTTTTTTATAGTTCCTTTGCTCCAAATAGTTCCTTTTTCCAAATAATTCCTTTGCTCCATATAGTTTCTTTTGCTTTTTATAGTTCCTATTAGTTCAAAAAAGAACGAGATCAGAAAAAAGAACGATACCAAAAAGGAACGACATCGAAAAGGAACGAGATCAGAAAAAGGAACTATATTAATTCAAGAGTTGGAACTAGTTCCGATCGTTCCTTTCTCGGAATAGTTTTATTGTACTAGTTCGTTCCGGAACTACCCAACTCTAATTTTTCGACAATTTCGCCCATTTTCGTCAATTTTTGCCACACCCGAACATTTTTAATATTTAAAAATAAAACAACAATGTATTATATATTTTTGTACTGAACATTTTATTCAGTAAATGCAAACGATTTTTCTCCTGATCAAATCAATCTACGAGAATTTCGAGTCACTTACATGCTAAATTAACACTCACAACATCATTGCTACACATGTATACACAAATATGAATACACATACATACATACAATTAACTCCTTTATATGGATACATGGCGGCTGATGATAATAAAAAAAGGCATAAATGCACCCACTTCAATACAGGATCGAAATGAATACACATATCCTTAGAAATATTTACAAAAAATACTAACAACAATAATAATGAGCAGAAAGAATCAAATTTACAAAAAATAAAAATTAAATATGAAGTCCTTCCCCTTTTTCCAGTGACAATCAATGTCTAAATTCCTTAAGGACATTAAGGACTCACATATTTGAATTTTCCTAATTAAGCGTAACAACTCATTTGCATGCCAACAAAAAAAGCAAGTTTTGAGAGAGCAAGAGAGAGAGAGAGCGAGTATCCGCCTGGCATATGCAAATGTTAAGCAAAGCTAACATAGAATTGAAACAAAAAATGCTAACTATGAGAGTGAGATTGAGAGAGAGAGCGTGAGTAATGAAACTAGAAACAAACAAAAAAAAATGACAAATAAGTTAATAACACTTAAAAATTAATAAACTTTAACGACGAGACAATTTTCCTGTCCCATCTTCGTAAGGAATCACATCAAAGTCCGGAATACGTTGTGCTTCGTCGTCGTCGTTTTGATTGAGAGGAGGTGAAACTGCTGCTGCTGCCGCGGCTGTATTTCCCTCTCAACATTGGTAACTAGAAATGCCTTTATATTGAATAGAAGGTGGGTATTTTGGGCTTTGGGTGGGGAAAGATGACTTAGTGATGATAACCACCGTAACTGTAACCAACAGCTGGAGCAGCATAGGCGACTTTAGCAATGGCAGGGGCGGCCACAGCTACCTTGGCAACAGCTGGAGCAGCTGCTACGGCCACGACAGGTTTAGCGGCAATAACAGCTCCGCCGGATTTTTCCACAACGGCATTGAAACCATTAATATGATCGGCGGTATAGGTTACCTATAAAAACACACACACACATTAAAATGGGTCCATTCCTCGGGGTGTTGGTTGTGCATCACATTAACCTACCTTACGAATGGAACCATCAGCTTCAGTCAGGGAATAGCTACCCTGTACAACACCATTTACTAATGATTCATGGGCCGATTTCGAATCTCCGGTAGAATGATCTGAAACTCCATAGGAGAAGCTATATTGTGGATTGGGATCATATGGCTCGGGTTCTACGGCTTTAACAATAGCCGGTGCGGCGGCAACTGCAACCTTTGCAGGTGCTGCAACAATAGCTGGGGCGGCTGCTACAGCTACTTTAGCTGGCGCCGCATAGGTGACTGCTGGAGCGGCATATGAAACGGCTGGGGCGGCATATGAAACTGCGGGTGCGGCATAAGAAATCGCCGGTGCTGCGGCATATCCATATCCATGACCAATACCACCAGCCACAGGCACGGAAATGGCCATCGACAAGGATACACTGAGTACTAGAAGCACCTAAAAGCACGATCACAAAAAGGAATCCATTTTCATTGATGGGCAATAAGTTACATCACCGAATCCGATCCGAAATCCTTACCTTTTTGAACATGATCGATAAGTATTTGGTCTGTCTGTTGCAAGGAAGCCTATAAAGAAGCTTGTGAAGCTGAAGTGTCTCTACCTTTGCTGTTTGCTAGCAAATATCTAACTTTGGTTTGAGATGCATTCTGAAAGAAGTTTCCACTTTTATATACGAAGGAATGTCAATCTTGCCACATTGTGGCCATCTATTGGCTCAACTTGGACGACGACAACGACGAAGCTCACACAGACTAGCAAACGCAGCAGCATCAGTCTCAATCTCAGACATAGCTTCTGTCTACGGATGATGTATAGATTTGAAATGTGGTTCGAAGACTCTTTAAAGCTGTGCTTTTCATTTGTTATGGTGGTGAGTTGTGACCACCAACATCAGTACTCTTTGAAAGAACACCACCGAGCGAACGAGCGGCCATTCATTGTTTTTTTTTCTTTTTCTGTTTTTGTCTTTTCTTCGAATCCGAAAAGATTTGATAGATCTGGTTTTGTTGTGATCTTTTGTCCACCTTAAATGCGGATGATTTCTACATCGCTGCCGGTGATTGTGAGTGAGTGATTCGCGATTATTTTTGTTTGTCTCTTTGTTTTGTTTCGATTTTAGTTTTTCCTACTCGAACAGCCTTTTAGAGGCAAACTTTTCTTGTTGTTTAGATCACCAATTTAAAACCTAAAAAATGCCTAGCCAACAACCAAGCCCCTGCTAACAAGATACGCGCATGCGCGAACTGATTTATTTAGTTTTCCTCTTGTCAAAACGCACATTTTCAAACAAAGCAGGGCTGTACAACATTTGGGTTCGGGGGTTATTGAAGGTGATAAGAATAAAAACTGTCGTAATGTCATCGGTCAGTAAAAAAAGAATATATCGGGACTTGGTTCTACACACCAACTCATTTTCGGCTTTAGGCGCTACAGGAGGGACTGTAATTTGCAATTTCGGGTTCTTGCTGGAAAAATAAAATTGGTGAATTTGCGCACAAGACCGACACGCTTGGAAATCTGTTTTAAGCTCGGCTTATGGAACAACCGTTCTGTAATAAGCCAGCTATGTAAGTAAGTAAATTGTCCATTGGAAGTGCCATTTCAAGTTCCTAGTTGTTGAAAACCGCCATATTATGCTCCCACCTCTTTTCAGTATTTGTATGACCATGAGCGCATCCATCCAACAGGCTACAATATCGGGTTCTTGTGTCTAAAAACAAGTAAAAAAAGTGTTAGTGATGTCGCCGACAGGTATATAGCCTCGGCCTATGGTTTGCGGAGGTCTTCGGAATTACACACAAGGTTTAATTATTCGCTTCATAACAGGTATTTAATTTTATTTCAAAGGTTTCGAATTTAATGTCAAATTAAATTTACATGTTTATAAAATATTGACCCTCTGTGGGGGTGGTACCAAAAGGAGTGGACACGTAAGTCCCATATTCCGACGTGATCTGGGCTTGGTACTATTAATAGATTGTACAAAATTTGGTCCAAATCGGACATTCCATTCGCCTGATATTGGATTTATAAATATTGCATATTTTGACCATTTGTGGGGCAGGTACCAGAAGATGTGGACCAATACGTCCCATATTCGGACATGATTTGATCTTGGTAAAGACAACAGGTTAGTCCTATATTCGAATTGGTAAAGATAATATGTTGTTCAAAGTTAGATACAAATCGGACATTCCATTCGCCTGATATTGAATTTGTAAATATTGACATTTTTGATCATTTGACCAGGTACCAGAAGAAGTGGACCAAAAGGTTTGGTGAAGATAATAGGTTGTGTGTGCAAAGTTTGCTTAAAATCGAACAATCCCTTGACATGATATTATAAAATACATTTTTTGCATAATTTTGATCATTTTGTGGAGGAGATAATAGAAGAAGTGGACCGATATTCCCCATCTTCGAAAGGAATCGGTTGCTCCCTTCGAGGGTTATCGTTCCAGACGTCCAGACAAATAGACGAACGGACATTTATAAATCGACTCAAAATCGTCTAAAGTGGAAGTGGTCCAAAGAAAGATGGGGTCTAACACCAATATTTCGATGAAGCACATTTTTGGGTTTCCAATTGTTTATACCCTCAGTAGCCGTGTGACTGAGAGTATAAATATCAGCGAATATTTTATATTTAATATAGGTCCATGTTTTGACGTAACCCCCATATAAAGCTCCCGCCTCATTTCGGTATTTTGCTGATCCTAGGTATTTTTTGCAAATTCGAGCGCATTTCCATCCAACTGGCTCCGGTATCGGGTTCTTTTGTCTAAAAGAATCAGCGAAAAATGTTTAATATAGGTACATATAAAGCTTCCGCCTCATTTCGATATTTTAATGATATTTGCCAATTCGGGGTTTCAGAGGGTAAAAATCCAATCAAACTGAAAAGCTAATGCTACCTTTTCGAAATTCGAAGTGGTCGTAATTTGGCATTCAGATTCTTGGTAGGTAGACATTTGTGTCGTAGAAAATTTTCACTACCCTCTTTATAATAACCACGCCCTCATCCTATTTAAAATATTCTGATGATCGTATATGTATTTTACAAACGAACTGTCAGTAATTTGTCATTCCCGGTTCTTGTTGGCTGAAAAACTTTTCTGTGGGAGATGCTTGAAATATCCACCTATAAAACCCTTCCTGTAATTTTGTACTTCATTTTCTTAGAGAAAAAAAAAACAAAACATCCCGAGTCCATGTTATGGCACAGGTCCCACATAACAGTTCCCATCAATTTTATGTATGAGAACATTCTCCTCATGACACTTGCCAAGTTCGTTCGGTCCGAACTTTTTTCTCTAAGACATCCCTATTATTATTATTTTATTATGGCGTGCCTTATATTGTAACTCCCTTTCCGAATGTGACTGAAAGGCCAAAATAGTCTACTTTACCACCTTAATGAATGCTGGAGCTTTGATCTAAAAACACCAACACACGCACACACACACACATCGACAATACAAAATCGTAACTTTTAACTTCAATTCGATTTGGTTCAATTCTGATGCAATCAACACAACCTCTTGTCGTCGATGGACAACAAAACAAACATTTTGGATATGCCACCATAATAATGATTTCAAATGATTGACTGACTTGGTGGGCCTAATAGAACAGCAGCAGCAACATGGCTGTGATATATATTTTTATTTATGGGGGAAACACAGTATTCATTCAGACAAAGTGAATGAATATTCTTGTCATTTAATAATCTCCATGGATGTGGATTTCCATGACTTCAATTGTCGTCAGAATTTTTTTTTAAATTATAATTGTTTTGGTGTGGCGATTTTGTCGGTGTTACAATTTAAGAACTGATTTTTTGATTTTGGTAAGAAACAAGTTTGGTTTTAGTTTACAATTTACTGCACCAAATTAAAATTAAACGAATTCATTAAAACACCATTTGGTGATGGCAATTGCCGAAGACAAGATATTAGCTGACAGTAGTCGTCGTTGTCAACTTGAATGTGGTTGAATGCGGCTGCAAGCGGCGTCTGGTTTTTACAAATTGCAACTTCTTGTGGCAGGCCGACCGGCCATTTGTCGCCAAACGTCCATGTGAATGTTTGGTAATGTGCTATCCGTATGTATGACTTCATGTCTAAACGCCCAAATAATCACAGAAATATTGCAAAAAAATTGAAATTTGAATATGGCCTTGATCCTCAATATCTTTTGGTTGAATGTTCTTTCCGCGAAGCATTTCCAGTTAGCCGTGATGCAAATCATTTCAGCATATAATTATGATGGATAACTTCGATCACTTGTCTCGTGACATTCAAATGTTGTTCTTGTTTTCCATGCAAAAAGTCAAGATTTAAGCATGAAAATGAATGTGAGAAAAGTCATTTTGTATCTGCATTTTTTGTGGCAAACGAAAAAACGAAAACTTGATTTTATAATTCACAAAACGGATATATACTCAATTGCATTATTTTGAATATATGTTAATGTGTTTTATTATTCAATGACAATGAGACAAACTAAAATATGTACATGTTCGGAAAAATATGTATTTTTTCATTCTCCAAGAACACGTCATTGCAAATTTTAGTCAATTCGTTGGGCCGATCTTTTTATACTCTCCAACGTGAGATGTACGGGGCAATGCCCTAATAAATTGCTGCCAGGAGAAAATGAAAAAACCAATGTATAGGACTAGTACCTTTGCACATACCAAAAATGACGCATGATTATCTCCTCTGCCTTATGGCTAAATGTGCCTCGTCGAAATATTGGTTTTAGACCCAATGTTTCTTTGGACCAAATCCGTTTTAGACAATTTGTAGTCTGTTTAAAAATTTCGATCCGTCCGTCTATCTGCCTGTCTGGCCGGTAACTCCCGAATAACCGAATTCATCTAAACTTTGCACATCGTAAAATTTCTTCGAAACTTAGTTCAAGTTCGAATATGGGACAAAACGGTCCACTCCTTCTGGTACCTAACACACAAAATTGTCAAAATTGTGCTTTTAATGTACCAATTCTGACTGACTTATACACATTTTTTATTTAAAGGGACCTCCCCCCATTCTCGGGGTCAAAAATTTTTATGATTTAATTCGAATCTACTCTAATTCAAAAATGTCCTCACAAAATTTCAAGTGAAAATCTCAAGAACTCTTGAAGATATAGCCGATGTATTGTGTCAGCATCAAGTGACGGCTGAAGGGCTTCTCAAACTTTAAACGCGTTTTTCTCATTTGTGAATGGCGGGCACGATAACTCAAAAACTAATAACCCAATCGATTTCAAATTTTTACACGTTTCTCTGTGAGTGTACAGCTATCGTATGAACTAGGATAAAGCAATCGGTGAAGATCTTCCTTATTGTTTAAGTTGGTTTTTGGTCAAAAATCAGCGATTTTCCAAAAATATTTTTTAAAAGTTCGCCATTTTGTTAATTTTAGAGCGAAGTCAATAATCCTAGTTCATACGAGAGCTAGACATGTACTTGTACACCGTTGGAATTTTCGGATTCCGATGTTCCAGTGAGGAGTTATCATA